TACACTCAGCTTGAACCGTTACAATTACTTGATAATTAATAGGCTCTATGCCGACCCCTGATTTGTGTATTCTGCCTCGAATGTTTTTGTCAACAGTGTGCCCGAATTATTCGCTCATCACAGATCATATACTAACATACGCGGCACTTCAGACCGCCTGTCCTGGAAGTCTGATGTGCGGAATTAGCTGGATACAGGGGAAGCAAACCGAAACATGATTAACTAATCTTGATATTTGATGATATTATCGACAGTGGTCATTTTTACGGGGTTTCAGGGTGTTCCATCCTTATATGTTCTATTTGCTTGTAAACTGCGTTGGATCTGTCTCCGCTAACTTACACAAAATTATAACCACGCCAACTCCCCAGTCTCCGCTTCGTTATAGTCAATAAACTACATGGTTCCTAATGTAAAGACCTAGCAGTTCCAATCATAAAATTTGGCAAATGATGTATGAGCGCCAATCCTATTATTTAGGCCCAATCGAATGAGTGTCTGTTCATTCGGCTTATACATGGGCCATCCATCCTCGTAGGTCAACAGGCCCCTCTTTGGATCCTTAGCAAAAGTCGCCCAAGCGCCACGCATATACTTGGCCAAAATCCTCTCCTGGGTCGTGCTATACATCTCGCTCTGATCAACAGTGTTGAACAGCTGTCGGACTTCAGATTCATGATATGCGCCACTTGGGGGATGCGTTGACAATTCCATATTAGAGAACTCGCCAAAGTATCTGTATCGCCAGGTAGGGTTACCTTGCCGTACTGATTCAGCTGCGCGATAAGCAGCAGGACAACCAAATAGCGCCTGGCTGTTATTCTTCCAAAATCCGGCAGGAACGGGTTCCTGACTAAACAATTGGAATAGGCCACCCTCAAAATCGGTGTTGCCAATGAGCATCGGCAGAGCTGCTGATTTTCTGCCTGTGTAGTTGGCGAACACAACCTGGTTGTCCACAGTGGGAGAGTAAGATATGAGAATGGCTCCATTCACTATTTTACGTAGATGCTTCACAATCTCGCTTGCCGGCTTTGTCAACATGCATTCGTGTACTGCTTGCGATGGTCTATTGGCGTCACCGCAACCGAGTGCTTCGGTAGAATTGAACCAAAAGTCCCGCGCCTGTGTCTCAGTCCGAAGCCGAAGTCCTGTGGATGTTCCAGATTGAGAGATGAAGCCGTGTACTATTGGGTCGGACGACCAAGCGTATGAGTAGTCGTCGACGGAGACGCCACCTGAAGATTGCCCGAATATGGTTATGCGCTTTGGATCTCCGCCAAACCTAGCAATGTTATCTCGAATCCACTCAATGGCTAAACGTTGGTCGAGAAGGCCCGGGTTTGCATGACCCATTGGGTTACCTGGGAATCCAAAGATGCTAAGTCGATAGCTAAACGCATGTTAGCCTTGTGTGACTACTGAACATAAAAGAAAGTATGAATTCCTCACTTTATTGACACCAACACTACGTCTTCTTCATCGGCAATAAACTGCCCGTTATAAGAAGGCAACGCGGAGCTTCCTGAATCGTGTGTTAGCAGACAAATACCAAAGCAAATAGATGATAGGTTCTCTTTATTCGTACCGACAACGAAACTTCCTCCATGAATCCACACAAGGACAGCTTTTTGGCGGTCCCCGTCTTGTGGCTTTGTCCATATATTTAGAGTAAGACAGTCCTCACTAACAGGAATGCCGGCATTCATAATCTCGGTCAGAAATTTTATGCCGACCGATGTGATGCCATATTCTTTGATCAGATGGTCCGGAATTTCGCCGTCGTTATCGGTTATGGCGGATGGTACGCAACCAAAGCCCTAGCGAAGTCAGTGTACAGCACTGTCAATGTGATACAGATTATA